GTAAGGAGCTTAGGAGGGGATGCAACACTCTTACTTGGATGACGGTCTTGATGCAGTTAAAGAAATATGCCGCAGGGGTATGTATGGCCTGCTTCCAATATAAATGAATCTTGTGAAAAGCCTTCCTCTGCTTTTGGCTGGATCAAGATCTGTCTAACATATTAGTTGTCAGCGGTTCCCATCTAACCAGTTGACCTTTGCTTCTAGCACTTTCTGGCTAATCTTAGGCTCATCCATCTCTGCAGCTACCTGAGTTTAGAGAAACCTCCAGCTGGCCATCTGACCCATGGAATTGGAATCTGACTGTCGTTAGACTTGTCTGTTTCTGTCACTGTGTGAGCCATTTTCTTGACATAAGTTCTCTCTCTCTATGTAAGAGCCCTCGCGGTGTAGTGGTTACACACTGGGCTGCAATCCACATGGTTGGCAGTTCAAAACCAGCCGCTCTAAGGGAGAAAGATTGGGCTTTCTACTCCCATAAACAGTTACAGTCTCAGAAACCCACAGGGGGGCCACACTATGAATCGCATTGACGCAATGGCAGTGAGTTTTGAGTGAATTCTATATATGTATGTGTATGTGTGGATATGTATACATATACAAGCTTCACTGGTGTTTTTCTGTCCAGAGAAGCCAGCCTAAGACAACATGCCAGTTTTACTCTGACACACACGTGTTGCCATGGGTCCGAGTTGAATTGATGCTAACTCGTGTTTTAGTTCCTTATCTAATAGCATCTTATTCATACTCAGATAACATCTCTAGTTGTAAGTATATCCATTCATTCAAAAAACACATATGAAGTGCCTGTGAGTGCCAGTCATACAGAGGTGAATAAAACCAACTGAGACGGTCTTGACTTGTGCTGAACTTCAGTTTAGAGTGATATACGCAGTGTAAGTACTGCTTCTTCTTTTTAAACATATTAAAAATATATTACCTGCTCAACTTCACTTTGTTCTTTTTAAGAGCTTCACAAAATTCTTTTATATAAACATACCTAAGGTCATTTCTAGTTATTCATGAAATTTTAACTCTCTAGTTGGCAGAAATCATGCTATTTTATACCTTTTATACCAAATAGTTATAAAACAACACCTCATGGGAAAAGCACAACCGAGACCTCTGTCTACACACCCAGTGGGTCTAGTGCTGGTGTCACCTGGGGTGCCCAAGGCCGGTGCGAATGCTGGCATGTAGAGTCAATGGCCAACTTCTCAGAGAATGAGAGCGGGGTACAAGCAGCTGGCTCTCAATGTGCGGCCCTTACTGCAGGAGTGACCCAATAGCTGAGCAGCACGGTGTGCACAATGCAGCAGCTGCCTAGTCCTAAAACCAAAAGTGCAGCAGAGCCAAGTACACGGCTCAACCATTCTACTTTTATATGATGATAATGGAATGGAATTATTCCAAAATGTGATATATGTCCCTTAAGTACATGGCTAGTCTTAGCAGAAATGCCGTTGTTTCTACTTCCGATCACAGAGTCAAACTTTAATGCTTTACATCAAATTGTACATTTTTAATGTGGATTTCATTATCCAAGTACTGCAATTATACTCCATTTCAAAAGTGCCCTGTGGATGAGCAGTTAATCTCCATGTTACCAGTGCATGCTAAGGCAGGATTATCATCTCTTTTTAAATAATTTTTTTTAAATGTACTCTACCTCCTTTTATATAGTTACATAAAAAATGACAAAGAACTCTGATGCTAGCATCAAACTAATCTAGGTTGAAACTAATCTCTTCACTGTTGAAAACAAACATGAACTACAAATACCTGAATGGCACTGGCAATGTGTCAGGTCCAGCTTTAAGGCCTTTACACATGTTTCCTTAAGCCTCATTACCATTCTGTGAAACAAGTAACCTTATTATGCTTATTCTACAGACAGAGAAACAGAAATATAAAAGATTTACACACTTTCCTCAAAGTCACATATTGAAAGTGGCGAAGTCAAGATTTGGATCCAGGTTGTCAGGTTCTAGAATCCTGCCCTTCAAAGGGTATAGAGCATAATCTCATACAATTTACTGAAATTCTTATAATGTTACAAGCTTAATTGTGCACTTTCCCAAAATATGTATTGAAATCTTAGTCCCTGCATGTAAATACAATCCTGTTGGAGTTAAAAGGTCATATCTGGGTAGGGTGGGTCCTAAACCTAATCACTTGTGAGCTATAAAAGGACAGAATGGACACACGGGAAGACAGATAGCATGTGAGGACCCATCAGCAAGCACAGGATAACCAGCAACTATTTTAATTATGAGGCGGTATCCAAGTCCTCCCCAATACTTTGCCTCTGACACCTGAACCAGAAGCAAAAAAAAAAAAAAAATCCTTATAAATGGACCAACAAACACCATCACCATAGAAAGTGAAGAAATTAAATTTGTCAAGAATTTAATTCTTCTTAAATCAACAATCAATGCCAAAGGAAGTAGCAGTGGGCAGATCAGCTGCAAAAAAATGTCTAACATGTTAAAACACCAAGGTCATATCAAGGACTCAGATGTGCCTGGCCTGGCCGAGATCATGTACTTTTTAGTCACTTCACATGCAGGTGAAGAGCCTTGGTGGTGTAGAGAGCTGCTAACCACAAAGTCAGCAATTCGAACCCATCAGCTGCCTTGCAAGAGGAAGATGAAGCGTTCTACTCCCATACTGAGTTATATTCTCAGAAACCCACAGGGGTAACTCTACCTTGTTCTCCAGGTCACTGTTTCTTGGGATTGATGCAGTGGCCGTGAGCGTGGTTTGGGTTTGGTCATATCACGCAAAAACTGGACAATGAAAAAGAAAGACTGAAAATGAATTTAAAAATTTGAATTTTGATATAAACAAAGGCTATTAAATATGTCATGGACTGAAATAAGAATGAACAAATCTTGGGGAAAATATAAACAGCATGCTCCTTTTTTAAAACTAGTTTTATTGCAGGCTCATCCAACTCTTATCACAATCCATACACACATCAATTGTGTAAATTGTACATTTGTACATTCATTGCCCTCATCATTCTCAAAACATTTGCTCTCCACCTAAGCCCCTGGCATCAGCTCCTCATTTTTCCCCTTCCTCCCTGCTCCCCCCTCCCTCATGAACCCTTGATAATGTATAAATTATTTTGTCATATCTGGCACTGTCCGACGTCTTCCTTCACCCACTTTTCTGTTGTCCGTCCCCCAGGGAGGAGGTCACATATAGATCCTTGTAATTGGTTCCCTCTTTCCAACCCACTCTCCCTCTACCCTCCCAGTATTGCCACTCACACCACTGGTCCTGAAGGGATCATCCACCCTGGATTCCCTATGTTTCCAGTTCCCATCTGTACCAGTGTACATCTGGTCTAGCCAGATTTGTAAGGTAGAATTGGGATCATGATAGTTGGGGAGATAGCGGGGGAGCAGGGAGGAAGTATTTAGGAACTAGAGGAAAGTTGTATGTTTCATCATTGCTATATTACACCCTGACTGGCTCTTCTCCTCCCCAAGACCCTTCTGCAAGGGGATGTCCATTGGCCTACAAATGGGCTTTGGGTCTCCACTCTGCACTCCCCTCCTCATTCACTATGATGTGTTTTTTGCTCAGCATGCTCCTTAAAAGCAAGTTTGGTGAGCTAATGCCTCACTTTGGACACATCACTAGGAGGGAAGGGCCAATTGCTGGAGAAAGACTTGGTAAAGTAGTGGGTCTATGAAAAAGGAGACTCTCAATGAGATCGACTCCCATTGGGGCTGCCAAAGTGGGCTCACACACAGTATTGACTGTGAGAATGGTGTAGGATCAGCAGCATTTTGTTGTTATGTAGGAGAATTTTTATTTTATTTATTTTAAAAAATCATTTTATTGAGGCCTGTTACAACAATCCATATATAGATTATATCAATCACATTTGTGCATATGTTGCCATCATTATTTTCAAAACATTTTCTTTCTACTTGAGCCCTTGTCATCAGCTCCTCTTTTTGCCCAGGAACTCTTGATAAATTATAAATAATTGTTATTTTCATATCTTACACCATCCTCTGTCTCCCTTCACCCATGTTTCTATTGTTCATCCCCCTGGGGAGGGGGCGCAGTGTATGCTGATCTTTGTGATCAGTTTCCCCTGTCTCCCCCCACCTTCCCTCTACTCTCATGGTATTACTACAACCATTACTGTACCTGAAGGGTTTATCTGTCTTGGATTCAGTGTATGTCGAGAGCTCTTATCTGAAGCAAGGTACATTCTCGGGTCTAGCCAGATTTTAAGATAGAACTGGGTCATGATAGTTGGGGGCAGGAAGCAGTAATGAACTAGAGAATGTTGTGTGTTTTGTTAATGCTATACTGCAGCCTGGCTGACTCATTCCTTCTTTGTGACCCTTCTGTGAGAGGATGTCCAATTGTCTACAGATGGACTTTGGGTCTCCACTCAGCCTCCCTTGTTCACATCAATATGATTGTTTGTTTTGGGTCTTCTGATGCCTGATACATGATCCTGTTGATACCTCGTGATCGCACAGGCTGGTGTGCTTCTTCCATGTGGGCTTTGTTGCTTCCCTGCTAGATGGCCACTTGTTTAACCTCAAGCCTTTTATACCCCAGACGCTATATCTTCTAATAGCCAAGCACCATCAGCTTTCTTAACCATGTTAACTTATGCACCCATTTTGTCTTCCGTGGTCATGTTGGGCAGGTGAGCCTCACAGAGAACTAAGAGCTCTTGTATTGAGGGAGGGCTTGAGTAGAGGTCCAATGTTGGTCTGCTACCTTAATAATAAATAAATATATGTACATAGACCTATATCCCTGTCGTTATATATGAATCTATTTACATACATACTGCATCTATGTATACCTTATAAATGTCTCTTGCCTCCTAATTCTTTCCTCTATTTCTTCTTATTTTGCTCCTGTCCCACCATCATGTTCAACCTTCATTCGGCTCTCTGAAGTTGGAGGAGAATTTTTAAAGTATTGCTACAACATAAGAAAGCTTTAAAGCAATCAAAATGGAAACTATTGCTTCCTGACCTATCCGCTATCCAAATCTATACACTGCTGAAAGAGGTGCTTCCATCTCCCTAATCGTTCCCGGAAGGACTCTGGCCGCTTCAGTGTGCTGCTGCAGGTGAGAACAGACGTTTTGACACTGAGTTCTCTCTAGATGTTCTTGGGAGCAGAAAGAAATCTGAAAGGGATGGGGGATTCGGATGGATGGGGTAAGGTTTCCCAATGAACTTCTCACAGGACAGGCCTTGCTACCCTTGAAGAATGAGCAGGTGCATTGTCGGGGGGCAAACAATTTTCTGGGTGCAATTTTCCTGGGCCTTTTAACATCAGTGCAGTTTTCAATTTTCTTAAAAATCGTTTGAGTTAGCGCCCAGGATCATCCCAGGATCTTCAAGAAAAGATATCAAGATTTGCCTGTAACCTCCTGAACTGACCTCTCTTACCTGAACCTTGTTTTCCGGAGCAGATTGATCAATCTAAGACGTGCCCCCAATAACAGTCCGTTTCATAAAATTGTCTTCATTAGCTCCAGTCTTCCTCAAGGACTCCAGGAAATATCAGCTCTTTGCCCAATGCTTGTGGCACCCACCCAGCCGAATGCTTGCTCAGGCAAAGTCATTTGCTTAAAACTGAAAATGCCAAGCAACGTGAAAACCCAATTTCAGTAGCTATTGCATCAATGGGAATTCTACGGTCTTCTTCCACAACTTTCTGAACGTCAGCCACAGTTTCTTCTACCCGTGAGGATGACAATCTTCCCTTTCTTGACTCCTCTGAGATTTCCAACCTTTCTGAAGGTACTTGATCTATCTAGATGCCATTGTTTTATGTAGGGCAGCACTCCTGTAAACTTGTTCAACATTTTTAAAGATTTGGGAAGATGTTCACTTGTTTAAAATTTGATATTAGCCCTGATCTCAAAAATCAGATTTCTCCCATGGAATAAAAAACGTGCTTTTATTTACAGCACCTTTATGAGACCAACCCAGGTGTATTACTGAGAGAATCACCTGTCTGTGGCCATCCACTGATTGCAGAGCAGTGTTTAAACATCTTTCTATGTGAAACGTGCCTGTGCATGTATCAACCACCACCTTAGTTGCAAGACTTTTTGATTCAATCTCATGAAAATTTGCTTTGAGTCCAAGTAGGCTTGGTTCCCCTAACAATTCTTCCTGCTTGGTGCTAAACAGTCTCTTCCTCCCCCAGGAGTCTCTGCAAATTACACCGATTGACTGCCTTCCTTTCACAGCTCTGAATATTCAGATTCCTCCTTAGTTGCCACGGGATGGAAACAGCCTTCTAGACAGCCCCAGATACTCGGAGACTAAGAAAAGAGCAGGGCCCATTGAAGGAAAGGAATGTCACCTTTACCTCACCTGACTCTTGTGTAAGACACAAATCAATTAATTCACCACATCCTTATTCAGCATCTTGCCATCCTGAGGTCCCTTCCCAGCCCTTCATAATCCCTCTAGTTCAGCCTGACTTCTCAAGTTGGCCAGGAGCCAGTCCTTGCTGGTAAACTTTGAGGGCTACAGAGCTCCCTCGCTTTGGATAGTCTTCTGAGAATTTAGAAGGAACTCCAAGTCAGCTTTTGACAAATCATTGGCAAAAGTAGAGGAAGGGCCTGCCAATTTGCTTAAGGCACTCAGCATGTTAACAGGTATTACACCAGGTGTTATTAATATGTTACTTACAGTTTTCAGCCTGTTGTATAGGTTGTGCTGCAATACTATGGGTTTCGTGCTTTATAACAAGCTACTGTATTTTTCTGAACTTGGAAGAACTCAGTACTCAGCATGAGAAAAACTTAGCACATTTGAGCTTCATGTGGGACTCATGAAGTGGGCTCACTGACCAGTAATATTTGTACAAATTCAATAATCAACTTTTGGTAGCTGAAGAAGTGAGACATTGATTACTCCCAGGTCTTGGGGGTCAGTGAGGTCAGTGTCCTGGGGAAATGCCCTCCTGTTTCAGTTCTCCAGGGAAAGTCAACAACTTTCTCCAGAAGGAAACCCAGAACTAGAAGGAAAGCCTCAGAATGCTCGGCTCCAGGATTTAGAGACTGGCTATCTAAGATGCACGCGTCCTAAAACCATCCGGTGATTTTTAGCAAAAGCTGAGCGATTTACATTCTAACCCAGGACATGCAGCTCATCAATCCAAAAGCACCTCATGCACTGGAAAGTCAGAGAGCAGGGAGAATGCAAGGCTCTCACTCCTTAGCGAAGTCTTGGGGAGGTAGACTTCACCCTTAGAATTAGGTGACCAGACGCCCCGCTTTTGGCGGGACAGTCCTGATTTTTAACAATTTGTCCCGCATCCCATGGCGTTTTTAAAAAGTCCCGATTTTTGGAAAGAATGCATGACGAGCTAGGGTATACAGTTTTTGGCTGCCATGTGGTATTTCACCAGGATATGAGTTTTATCAATGGTGTCCCGCTTTACCAATGTTAAAATCTGGTCACCTTACCTTAGAAGCCTTCATTCTGCACCGGTCACCTTGCATTTATTCAAACCTACCAGCCTGAATAAAACAAGGCTTCTGTCTAGTTGTACATCCTTTGGGGCCCAGAATGTCATCCCTGGATGGTGGCTATGATCAGGTGCTCAGATGTTAAGTGAAAGGTTGGAAGTTTGAGTCTACCCACAGGCACCTCCAAAGAAAGGCCTGCTGCGCTCCTTCTGAAAAATAAGCCACCGAAACCCCCTGGAGCCCAGTTCTACTCTGCCACACATGGGGTGGGCTCGAACGAAGCTGGCTGACTAGATCTAGAGAAGGGGTCGCTTCAAGCAGTTTGAAAAAAAAAAAATGGAATCAAAAGATAATGTAATTTTCCCCCCATGAATTTTTGGAAACCCTTCCCCTATACAGGCCCTGGATATCAAACAGCTCATCTGAAAGCAATGCAGACATGTGCTATTTCACAAATCAACACCATATGATATTTTTGTCTCCCTTACCCTTCTAAATCTGCCAGTGAAACATTTAGGGGTAACACTAATTATACTCCATAAACTAACCCAGGATCCCATGCTGTGTACCTCAAGAAACTTAAGACAAATTAGCTTATTCTGGAAAAATAAAGTCAGCTAATGTCTACCTTCTTTCCCATAGGATATACCTGGAAAAATGAACGTAAAGTTTCTCTCTGGCTTTATTCTAGAGTTACCATGTAGCTTTGACTAATCATCGTCTATCAGGGCTGTTTATTTTGTTTCTGCATTTGTAAAATGTTTAAAGTCCCTACAGGAAAGGAAGCACCCACCCCCAACACACACACACACACACACACACACACACACACAGGAGCGTGCGCATGTGCTATCAGGCCAGTGATCACTTTTATTTGGTCAATTTGGGTACTGAGGACTCTGACCGAATTCTCAGAGTTTGGGGTTGTTCTCGCACACTTTCCTCATTGCGGGAAGGTCACATGAGCCTTTTGCTAGCACTGAACTGAGAGTGACGTGGTACAGATAAAAACTTGGGCAAGAGCAATCAATGTTCTTCTTAGAAGAGTACTACTCATTTGGCAACTTGCTGCCTCATGAAGGTAATGGCCTCTGTTTTTCTTAAAGAACATCTGCTGATTGTCCTCTTCCTTTTGCAGCTGCGATTGGACCCAAGAGGAAGAAGGTGAACCAGTCAAAGAAATGCAGGTAGGAAAGGAAGTGGAATGAGGGGAAATGGAATTAACCCCGCCCACCCCTCATCTTTATAATCTGCCTCAGATGCAGCTTCATAAAGAAGCAGAACCCAGAGGCAGTAAGTCAAGGCTGGCTTTTGCTCACAGGCAACTAGAAATTTCCAGATAAAAGAAAATAAAATATTACTGACAATATTATTGAGAGGAAGAACATCTGACGGTCCATACAGATTTACACTCTGTGTTCTTGAAACACGTTCAGTATGCATGACAAATTGCTATCAAATCTAGCAGCAACGAATTATACCCTTGCCTATGCACGACTCTGCAAGATTACCGACGGCTGTATTTTCTTCCATCCCACATTTTCTGGGAGTTGCTGTGGACAGTTTTCAGTTATGGATCAGAAACTCTGTTTTCAGCATGTTCTTTCTTAACCTAGTTGCCTCTCCGGTGAAGGATTTTTGCTGGAAGAGGAAACAATAATATTCTACTGCTTCCAATGAAGCACATGGGGCCACCAGTGATAACTTCCTTCTCCGGCTGACTCATCATTTGCAGTACCCCTGAGCTCTCCAATTCAATTTGCAGCTTCTCTGGCCACACTAAAGCCACTGGGCTGAGAATATGACACTATCAAGTGTGGCGGGCCAGGGTCTCCTCCTTCCCATCGTCTCTCTGCTTTTAGGGAAACTTCTGCACGGACAAGAAATGCACAGTGAAATAGAGGATGGGGATTTGATGGATAAATAAGTGATATTTGGATGTTGAAAATCACCTAAGAATTATCCAGGCAATTGCATCATTTTGAGATAGATATGTTAGATTAAATATGTCTCTAAAAATAGCTTCACTTATGTGTTGCTTTTTTTCTTAATAATTGGAAATCTCATTGAAAAAAACCTGGCATTGAGGTAATTATCTACAATCTTGTTATGCCGTCAATAATTTACTTAAATATATAGGCCTTTCTCATCATACATAGTGTAATATATGTGGGTTAGTATTAATTTACACCCTAGGGGTAGTTAGTTAGCATTCAAAGTGCCTTAATCAGGAGTACACACTTCAGGAGCGCTTGTTTAGTTAGAATTTGAAACCACAAATTGTAATTATCATTTGATTTGAAAATTTTGTCTCATATATATTGAAATGCTTTCTTTAAATTGTATGAGCCCCAATAAATTGATTAATTAAAAAAAAAAAAAAAGAAATGCTTTCTTTAACCAGTAAGTTATATAAAATGGAATATTGAAATTCCAACAAGTTGGGCATTTTCTGTCTATCTGTCTGTCTTATCTATCATCACTCATTTCTGACTTAATTTTCTCAGGTCAAAAGCACACACTGTATGATTTTAGTTCTTTGAAACGTGCTTGACAATTCAGCACCTGGGCAATGTTGGTAAATGTCCCAGGTGTTGGAATGAATAGTACAGTGCCATTGTGGAGCACAGTGGCCTATAATTATCAATTAGGTAAAAATAATTGACAGTGCTTCTTAGAGCTTCTGTTTTTATTGATTTCTCTATTTGATCTATGGTTCTCGAAAAGAGGTGTTTACGCTTCCCACCATGATTGTGGGCTTATTTCAGGGCTTCCAACTAGTTCTTTCCTGCTCGATCTTGGCTGGCAGTGAAATTGGAAAGAACAGAATGTGTAAAATGTAGGTGAGCCGGGATGACAGGATGATAACTAGTGTAGGAAATAATATTAGTCTCTGCCCTGCTGGAAACTCAATCTACTGTTTAGAAAGCACAGCATGTGTGTGCATAGCAACTGAATCTCTTCCATGGTCAAATAAAAAATATGGGTGCCCGGCTCAAAGATGGTAGCCAGTCATGCCATTTTGAATGTATGTCATTCTCCAAAGTCTAAGCACTGGTCCAATTTCCTTCATTAGGGTACTGAAAGGGCTTTAGTACATCTCTTCTGAGTTGCTTATTCTAGGGCTTCAACTCTTACTTTATCCCATTCTAGTGACCATTCTGCTTCACCCTATTTTTAAAAAAAAGGACAACATCATTCTTAACAAAGAGGAACTAAAACTATTCCCCTTGCAGAAGGGAATCAGAGAAGAGTGCCTTTTATCACCACTCATATAACATGCTGCACAAGAAGTCCAAGCACGAGCAATATGGCAAGAAAGAGAAATAAAAGGCACCCAAATTGACAAAGAAGCAAAATTATTTCTATTTGCAGATGACATAATCCTATGCATAAAAACACTCAGCGACTCAGTAAGAAAACTACTGGAACTAACAATTAAGCCTACTGGCAAGGTACATGATCAGCATACAAAAACCATGCTGATTTCTCTATACTAACAAGAATAACTCTGAAAAATGAGCTTAGGACAACAATACCATTTGCAAGAGCCACCCCAAAAGTTAAATACTTGGGAGATATATATATATCACAAAAGACACAAAGAAAACTATAAGACACTATAAGAAACCAAGAAACCTACATAAATGGGAATATATATATGTATCATGCTAATGGGTAGGGATCCTTAACATTGTAAAACTGTCAGCACTGCTCAAAGTGACCTACAGATATAGTACAGCACAACCCAGATCCCACCATCGTTCATATAACCGCCTTATATGAAAAGGATAAAGCAAAGCACAACTAAAGAACATAGTAGGAGGCCTCCACTTCCCATTCTCACAATATACTAAATAACCATAGTAGTCAAGCAGCCTGGTATCGGTAAAATGGCAAACAAATAGACTAATGGAACAGAATCAGAACACAGAAGTACATTCATCTATTTTTAGACAGCTGATCATTGACCAAAGGTCAAATTTTTTTGCTATTAAGTAAAGAAGACGTTCTCTTTAACAAATTATTTTGATAAACAATATGTAATAGAATCCATATACAAAAATGAATTCAGAGAGCTAAGTGTAAAACCTAAACCTAATTAACAACAAAATGGCAACTACATAGCGGGGACTTCCTGAAATGTAAACATTTATGTGCATCAAAAGATTTACCCAGTGTGAAAAGAGAGGCTCCACACTTGGGAAAAGTTTCTGCAACAACTTGTGGCTAACACGTATAGAAAACGTAAACACAGCAACAACAAGAAAGTCTACTAATTGATGACTTCATCAAAGTTGTCATTCAGGCAGCCACTAAACACCATAAAGAAACGTGCCTCCATCAGGTATCAGGTATCAAAGACCCAGAACAAAAACTCAAGGTGCAGTATAGCACCAATGAAACACACCTTTTCTCTGGTTCCTTAATGCTTCCTCACCCCCACTATCGTGGCCCTAATTCTACCTTACAAATCTGGCTAGACCAGAGCATGTACATGGGTACAGCTAAGAGCTGGAAACACAGGGAATACAGAACAGATAAACCCCTCAGGACCAATATTGAGAGTAGCCATACCAGGAGGGGAAGGGGAAAGTGGGGAGAGAAAGGGGGAACTGATCACAATGACCTACCTGTAACCCCCTCCCAAGGGGATGGACAACAGATAAGGGGGTAAAGGGCGACATCAGACAGTGCAAGACATGGAAAAATAATAATTATAAATTATCAAAGGTTCGGGAGGGAAGGTGGGGCGGGGTAAGGAACTGAAACCAAGGGCTCAAGTAGTAAGAAAATGTTTTGAAAATGATGATGGCAACAAATGTGCTCGACACCGTGGATGGATGGATTGTGATACGAGTTGTATGAGCCCCCAATAAAATGATTTTTAAAAAATAAAGAAATGTTCATCATCATTAGCCATTAAATCAAAAAGTAAACCAAACCCTCCAGCATTTTAATCCATTTAGATTCCCAATGATGATATATACGGTTTCTGCTAGCCTCACATGCAAGCAGACAGCCTAATCTCTCTGTGTTAGAGGGGCCGGTGGGCTTCAATGACCAGCAGTGCACTCAGCGGTCCCATGTGTACGGAGCCCACAGAATCATTATTAGAGGTCAGTGTTGTTAGGGGCCCTCAAGTTGGTACCAACCGGGTGACCCACGGACAACAGAATGAAAGACTCCGCAGTCCTGTGCGTCCTCACAACTATGCTATGCGGGAGCTGATTGCTGCAGACCTTGTGTCCGTCCATCTGTGGAGGGTTGTCACCTTTCCCTCTGACCTTCTACTGAACCAAGCATGATGTCCTTTCCTGGATATCAAGGTATGTGAAGGCTGCATTTCTTCCAAGGCAGATGTATTTGCTCATCTGGCAGTCCATTCGATATTCTTTCCCATCACCATAATTCAAGCGCATCAATTATTCTGTGGTCCTCTGTATTTATTGTCCAACTTGCACGTGCCTCTGAGGCAGTTGAGAATACCATGGCCTGAGTCTGGAGCATCTTAGTCCTCAAAGTAACATCACTTGAAAGAATCCTTGTGCCACAAATCTGTCCAATGCAATACATCTTTGATCTCCCGACTGCTGCTTCCATGAGTACTGACTGTGGATCCAAGCAAAATGAAATCCTTGACCATCTCAGCATTTTCTCCTCTTACCGGCATTATGTCTATTTGGCCAGTTGTGAGACTTATTTGGTACCCTTTACATTGAGTTATAAGCCTTACTGAAGTCTATAGTCCTTGATTCAGGTTCTCCTCACTTTCAACAAGCAAGGTTGTAAGTAAATTTTCCTCTCATCCTGATGCCACATTCTTCTTCCTATAATACAGCTTCTTGGAAGATTTACTGAGAACACAGATTGGCTAAGTATGGTGAAGGGATACAACAACAGCAGTTTTTTTTAGCTTCAGACTTCGTACATTCCATGTTCTGATTATTAGTGGTTGCTTATAGCTGTTTCTTCTCATGTTGTCATGCCCCCCCCAACCCAGCACATGAAGGTCCCTAAAACCTGACTCCCCCATGTCACTAAGGTCAACTCTACTTTGAGGAGGTAACTCTTCCCCAGTCATACGAGGATACTGATTGCCGTACAACCTCCCTTTCTGGGATTGTACATGGCAATGTTCAGCTGCTATTCATAGGGTTTCCAGTGGCTATTGCCTCCGAAATGGATAGTGTATCCTTCTTTGTGATCCTTTTTCAGTCGGGAAGTTCTACTGAAACCTATTAACCTTAGATGACACATCCTAGTATTTGAAATACTGGTATACAGGCGACATAGCTGCTAGCATCACAGCCACACACAAGCGGACAGATGAGTGGTGGCCATTAGCCATTAAGAAGATGCAACTCAAAATAATAATGAGGTATCATCTCACTCCAGCATTAATAGAAAAGTTCAAATGAACAGAAAACACATGTTGGTGAGGTATGGAGAGATAAGAGCACTCATGGTAGAACCACTGTGGAGAACAGTATGGTACTTTCTTTAAAAATTGTAAATAGAAACACCAGATATCTCACTACTAAAAATACACACTAGCTAAATATGAGCTATGACAGGAACAGATGTATATCCATGTTCACGGAAGCATTACTCATAATAGCAAAAAGATAGAAATAATTTAAATGTTCATCATAGAATGAATGTATATGCAAGGAAATACTATACAACATGAATCAATTATAATCAATAAGGATGAATCTGAGTACACCTCGTAGTATCGATGAACCTAGAAGTCTTATGCTGAGTGAAATCAGTCTATCACTAAAGGCAAATATTATCTGAGACTACTACTGTAACAATTCAAATAAGGTTTACCAACTGAAACAAACTTGTTTTAAAGGTGACCAGAGGTGGAAGGGAAAGGGAGGGAAGAATCACTAACCAGAA